ATATTACATCCTGACAGCGTACAACCATAGTTGATATTAACTATTAACTATGGTACAACTTACTGCGTTTCGACTAAATCAATAAGCCCCCCCTCTCAATTAAGCCCCCCCTCTCCAATAAGCCCTCCCTCAAACGTACTGGAAATAGATAAACCCCCCCGGGGGGCTAAATAGAGGATTTACGGTATGTAATGATAGAAGGAAGTTAAAGGCAATAACAGRAGTAGAAATAAATAAGCATTAATAACAGCTGTGATGAAGACATGCAGCATAACACCACCGCCACGACCATCATTATTGCCAATACAGCCTAACCATGCACGATCAGTAGTTTAACACCATGATGAACATTATCACGGCCACCTGACCATCATCACCACCACCATCAGCAACAACAATAATACTAAGCAACATCAAAGAGACTTGACCATCATTAACTTCACTAACTTTCACCAACAACAACAGCAACTACCGCAGTATCCCACTACTGAGCTGCTGCTGTATGCTTTTAAGTAACCAAGATGATATTTCAYGTACTTCAACATTGTCACGTTTGAATATACTAGTGCGTGATGATCACGTGACTAAGTAGGTGTCACGTGAGAAATCAAAATATGACTCCTAAGAAACTTTAACAAATTTAATCATCTAATAGACCCCTTGCACAGCACGTCGGAAAACAGCTCCATTTGGAGGACATAACATTGGGTTTCCAATTCTCATTCTTTTGTTTTGTACTCCAAATTGATCTGCTTTGACGTCACATGCAAGGGGTCTATATATAATTTAAAAATGTAGAAATAAATGGGAATATAGCCGGCTGTGGTTCCATTCCTATTCTACCACTGCCTCCTTCTAGAATTTAGAAGTTGATTTTCGCGGGAGGGAGGGAGACGGGAGACGACCGTCGATGAACATGAGAAAAGCAAGAAAAAAATTTGCTTTGAAATAGAGCCGGGGTCGCATTGGTGAACGGCGAACACAGTACACGATTACTATCAAATCTTTGAAAAAACTCAAAATAAATCAATTCACAGGTGGTTGTAAGAATGCCTAGCCATACAGAAGGTCCCGGCCCGTCTTCACACGCTGCGATTTACCGCGTCAAGCATGATCTCCAACAGGGAAAAAACCGCTTAACTTCTGTAAATTTTCAGACTTTCACAATCATTAGATAACTAAATAATAACGATAAACATCTTCAGTAAAGTTACATTAGGAAAACAAGAAGTTTTTTGTGTAAAAAATATTTTAAAACCTGAGAGATTTCGCTCAAAAACATATATAAATTTAAGATTTACTTTTAGAAAAATAAGCAATATTTTATGACGATAAACTAYGCTCTACTTGACCATCCTACAGTCCTAGCCACAGTTTGAGGTTAGTTCAGCACAGTGTGGTAAATCTAGCTAAATCAGGACATTAAAATTATAATAAAGACAGTAAACTGGTAGTTCTCTTCGTCTACCAAGTATCGATGTTACAGTGTTTGCAAGACTTCAGTGAACTGATTACACTCTTCTAATGCGTTCAAGATGAGGTACRTCAGTATATTAATCTTTTGTTTTGCTTTCCTAAACGAAACGATTGTCATAGAATTTTTTTTATCAAAGATAATAGCGTTGTTTATGTTTATCACTAACAAGTTGAATGAACCTGCAAGAGCTGCATTATATAGCTGTCAATTTTTCTCTTCGAGTGTCATGAGTCAAGAGCTCTGAATCTGTGAATCTTTTCTTCGTCTTCGTTTTTTATCTGTTGTATTAACTGAAAAGCAAAAAATCCGCTCTGAAATTAACAATTCGAACTCAATAATCACACGAAGAGCAATTAGAAAATTTAGACCATGATAAACTCCTATACTTAAAATATAATTTGAAATAGTTTATGTATATTATTTTGGCATRAAATAGAAAACGGATACATCAAATTCCTGATTTTGATGTACTTTCATGACGAAGGACCTGATTCCTACGCTCATTAGTGCTAAACTTATTAATCCATTTATCTAGAAGATATTTTAATTGAGTGSTTAACCAAACTCACACCTCGAGAAATAAAAACAGTTGATGTGGGCGGAGTACTTCGTGAAGTGCCGACAATGACTGAATATTTTCAGTAAGATTCTTATTTCTTTACGTCAATGACAAAATAACCAAGATGAAAAATTTAGACGAAGATGTGTGAAAGGATCGGAATAGTTCTTGTTTCGTTTAGTAAGACGAATTTAATACAGTGCAAACAATAGAGTACAAACACTATAAGTGTGTAACATAAATACCACTAAATACTGCTAAATTATGCTAATCCTATTGTTTTCTATTGTTTAATTAGCACTATTTACTACTAAATAGTGCAAAGTGTTGCACACTTCAGGTTTCATGACTTCACTCTACCCAGCTATTTGCTTATATTTCATTGGTTTTAATTGATTTATAAACAGTAGATCGAGAGAAAAAACAAAGGATTTCTAAGACTTCTCCTATGTATTTTGTAAGGTTCGCACAGTAGAGTACAAACACTAAAAGTGTGCAACACTTTGCACTATTTAGTAGTAAATAGTGCTAATTAAACAATAGAAAACAATAGGATTAGCATAATTTAGCAGTATTTAGTGGTATTTATGTTGCACACTTATAGTGATTGTACTCTACAGTGCATATTATGTAATATCAGTGAAAAACTTGTAATAGATTCAACACATTTGTACAAATTAGTTGGTTAAGACCGTAGACCTACAAATCTTTGCACTAATTTGTAAAATTATGTTTTTATAGTTTCACGGATACATGGTACAGCTACTTGCAAGAACGTTGTCATACGAAAATAGAACATTAGTGATTTAGTGGGATAGGAATTATATTAAAAAACAAGAGAAGATCACTGAAGCTGAACTTTTTCTTTTGTCTTTTAATGCATTCCTTTCTCACTAAATTATCAATGTTAATACTGATATCGTATGACAACGTTCTTGCAAGTAGGTGTATACATTTTTCTTTCAAGAGTCATATCACTAGACTTCCCATATACCATTTCGGTCTATTGTTTTCTACGTTCTTGAAACCGACAATGATTTTGCAATTGAGTATATTATGGCCAAGAAGGTTTGAAAGAAGGTTATTTGCACAGCAGCGCACTATATTGTTTAAATTTAAGGAAAAAGGTCCGAAAAAGTAAAAAAAAAGTATTGCATACTTGTACAAAATAACTATAGGAGAAAGTTCGTTTTTCTAGGCTGGTTTTGGCATCTGAAATACTCTCGTTATGATTAACCTCGACGACTCGAGCTTCAATTCATTATCTGCAGTATTCTGTTTTACAAGACAACCGTTTGGGAATAGAGGTTTTGCATCACCACGTGATATGCGAACATGCTGCAGCAATCTTTTATAGTCTCGTGGTTCCCAATTCATGGAAGAACTACGCATGGTTTTTTCGACTGATATTCTTCTTTTCCTCGTAATCGAAGCCTTTATTTGCAATGTTTGTCCGMATTTCGATCCCAAAAGGCTTTGCGATATCTATTTTTAGTAACCRTAAAAAATTCCATTAATACTTACTTACCGCATCTTTCTTTGAGGATGCGCCAACAAAGCGAATTCATGCACAGAGTCTGCAAAGTAGAGGAAATGTTATGACATTCATTCACAGGCCAAATGCTTTAAATATATAGCAGTGTCTAGAGGTTTTGCACAGTCACGTGCCCATACCCATAAAACAACTTGGGTTGCCTGTGGTTATGATTGTATTGTTTYTGCCATCTCACATGGTCACGTGATGGTGCAAAAASCTCTATTTGCCCAAATGCAGAATTTCCATGTTTGATTTTTCTTACTCACACAGGGCGACAACACTCGCTATGCACGTAGGTGTCGTTCTGACACTCTGCATTTTCTGTCTTTGGTATACAAATGCAGAATGCCGAAGCAGGTAAGGAAACGTGGTATATGCATAACATGGGGGATGGCAAAAAGAAGATCTTATAAGGCTCGGAGGGGGAATGGAATAGAAAAGGAAAGTGGAGCAGAAAAAAGGTAGAAGAAAGGGGACAATGTAGTGAGGAAAGAAAGGAGCAGAAGGGAGAGCAGAAAGGAGAGAATGAGGGGAGCAAAAAGGGGAGAAAGAGAGCAGAAATGAAAGGAAAAGGGGAGGAAGAGGAGGAACGAGGAAAGAAAGGGGGGAAAAAAAAGCGGAGAAGGAAAGAGAGGAAAAAACGAAAGGGTGGAAAGCTAGAAGATAACCAACTAGTTATTGTTCACTTACATCAATAATTGAATGTATCTTTTTCAGTAACCATGAAGGCGAGGACCCAGCTAYGTTAGCCCTAATAAAAAGCAAAGAGAACGCACACAATTTATCAGYATTTATCAACGATGTCTTAAAGAACTACGATCGCAAAGTTCGCCCAAATGCTGGCGGTAAACCGGTCTTAGTGTTCATAGAGTTTAAAGTCATTTCTTTCGGAGAAATTAAAGAAGCTAACATGGTAAGAGGAAAATTACTGGTCGCTAGTTTTCATGATGTCATAGACGCTATTGTTTTGTACCGGTTTTTATATGACGTCATAGACGCCATTGTTTTGTACCGGTTTACATATGACGTCATAGACGCTATTGTTTTGTACCGGTTTAAATATGACGTCATAGACGCCATTGTTTTGTATCGGTTTAAATATGACGTCATGGCCGCCATTGTTTTGTACCGGTTTACATATGACGTCATGGCTGCCATTGTTTTGTACCGGTTTAAATATGTCGTCATGGCCGCCATTGTTTTGTACCGGTTTACATATGACATCATAGCTGCCATGTTGGTTGTCGTATTTCTTGACGTCATAGCCGCCATGCATGTTGGCTTGATGTCACAAATAAAGTGCATTSTGGTATAGCTTGGGTACAAATAATGCAACATTAGGCATGATGAGAAGAGGCTTTACCCAAGTGAGACCAGAATGCATCATGCCCTTGCCTCCATAACAATCGTCTTGTACAAATTTATACATAATAGGACACTTGCATTATGGCGTCATTTACTACCACTACCAGAATCCCTTGCACACTTTCTTTTGTTCAGTTAATTAGCTGCAAYTGTCTTACTATTCTCATAAGAAAGGAATACAAATTGGAATAAGAAAGAAAATTCGCAAAGGGTATCAGTAGCGGTAGTAATGACGTACGTCTTCATGTAAACGGCTTATTTCAATGTCAACACGGAACAGCAGGGGACAGATTGGGTGCTGCTGGGTTACCTGTGGTACGGCTGCTCTTCTAAGGCGGCTGATACTTTTCTTCGCAGGAATATACTTTTGACATATTCTTGAGACAATGGTGGTACGACCCAAGATTTAAGAACAATTTCACTGAGCCATTCACCATGGCCGCCGACCCGACAAAGATGTTTTGGACGCCAGACACGTACTTCTGGAACGTGAAAAAATCCTCTTATCATCACGTGACCCGTGAGAACATGAGAGTCATGATATGGCCTGATGGGAAGATCTACTTTAGCGGCAGGTAAGTAGTAAAAATGTTTCTTATTGGGTCATATGTAATCACGTGACTCGTGAGGACTCGAAAGTCACGGTATGGCCTGATGGGATGAATTTAATTAATCTTATTCAATAGTTCATATATAAATAGAAAAATTCTCTCTTTTAATATATATAAATTGCATCCAAGTCAACAACAATAAAATAGTTATATGAATATAGAAAAAACTATATCTAAAAAAAATAAATAAATACATACTTCCTTCCCCCTGCGCGCGAGATGAAAGATCGTTTACAGACTTTATGAAGACGAAAATATTCATTCATATTTACAGGATTACCTTAACTGCACAGTGTGACATGGACCTACATCTCTACCCCATGGATACACAGCACTGTCCACTTCTGATTGAAAGCTGTAAGGAAAGAAWACTTYATCATATATTTAATTATCACTGGGTACCCTGTGTGCCAGCGAATAACTTAAAAGACTTTCCAAAAATAAAAAAATATGTTCCCGATTTCTAATTTTCATTTTGATCGGAAGTAAACACAGAGCTTTGTTTGAAAGCATGATATTCATTGACCATATTTCGATTCTGGAAAACTGCGCATGCGCCGATAAATAGATTATGC